AGATAGATAGATAGATAGATAGATAGATAGATAGATAGATAGATAGATAGATAGATAGATAGATAGATAGATAGATAGATAGATAGATAGATAGATAGATAGATAGATAGATAGATAGATAGATAGATAGATAGATAGATAGATGATAGATAGATAGAAAGAAAAGAAAGAAAGAAAAATGATATATGACAGACAGATAGATGGATAGATATAGATACAAGGAAGGTAGGTGGGTAGAAAGAGAGGGGGGGTATGGGAGTGAGGTTTTAGAGATGAGAGAGAGATGGACAGGTGTTTGAGAGATGATAGTTGGGTAGATAGGTAGGTAGGTATGAGAGATAGAGATGGATAGGAGAGGGAGGGGGGAGGGAGGGAGGGAGGGAGAGGTTTTGGAAGGGAATGGCAACTGAACTGCAGTGGCTGTGAGTTCTGGACAACTGAATGTCCCATTTTCCCTTTGTGCCAACAGCAAGAAACGGAGCAGGCGAAGGGGCAGCCCAGCCCAGACGACTGGAACAGCCCCGGCTGGTCAGAACCAGCCCAGACCTTCGGCAGTCGGACGGTAAGTCTGTTTCAGGCTGCCTCAAACTGACTCCCTGCTTCCCTGCCTTGGCTCCTTCATTTTCCATCAGCGTAGTTAGAAGGACATACCAGCAGGTGGCAGAGTGGGACTGGTCTTGCTCAGGGTTCAGAAGATTGGGACTGGGATGGGAGGCCACATGGTGAGCCCTAGCAGTAGGCTCGACTGGGAAGTACAAAAAAACATCCCGTGGGAAAACCAGAGAGCGTGTGTAAAAACTTCCAGGATGGGTCAAGGTCAGCCCCAAAGAATTAGCTTGGCTTGGAGGTCATTTTTGTTAGTTGGGGGACATTGTGGGGGGGGAGCATAACAAGGCACCTGTGGGGCTAGCATCCCCCCTCAAACTCTGGAAACGATACAGAAAAATCCCCTTCTTTCTTTGCTCCAGACGTTTCTGCTCTTTCATGAGAACTAGAAACTTCCCGCCTTAAACGTTTCTCTAGATTTTGCACAGACGGGGCTTTTGCCTTCCGTTTCGTAGGTTACGACCACAGCCTCCGACAGGCAGGACTCCGACTGGAGCAGCTCTGCCTGGGATCTGGAGCCGTCCTGGAGCCCCAAAAAGGGAGCAGCTACCCCCACGGACCCTCCCCCCGCCAGCCTCGGCACCAAAGCCCCTGCAGCCCACCAGGACTTCAAACCGGCGAGCGATTATAACTGGGGGAGTGCGGGCTCCGGGGACAAATCCGACCCGTTTTCCTGTCTGGTTGGGAAGCCGACACCAGAGAGGCAGGTGCGTGGCGGCTCTGGGGTCGCAGCCTGTATTGGGTGGATTAAACCATGGTTAGCTTCATCATGGATTGTCGCTAAATGAATCGAGGACTGCTGAAAGTGGCATCAGCGAAGGAAACAGAGGCTTGTTATTCACCTTGCTCTGAGCCAGAAAGTGTCTGGGATGGTTTAATAGCCTTGTTGGCTGGGCTCACTTAACACATGTAGTTAGTTAGTTAGAGACAGATAAACAGAGTTGGAAGGTACCTTGGAGGTCATCTAGTCCAACCCCCTGCCAAGCAGGAGACACTACACCCTTTCTGATAGGTGGCAGTCCAGTCTCCTCTTGAGAGCCTCCAGGGATGAATCTCCCACAACTTCTGAATAACAGAATAATAACAGACTAATAGAGTTGGAAGGGACCTTGGAGGTCATCTAGTCCAACCCCCCGNATTTTATCTGTTCTCCTGTAATTTCTTGCACCCATTTCCAAATTTTTGCCCAATATTTTTGTGTTTCCGAGCAGGTCCACCATATGTGATAATAATAAGATAATAATTGTTTCCACAATTTTTGCCACTATTGTATGCCAAAAATAGAGGCCTTAGCTTTTTTATTTTTAAATGCTTGCTAACTATGTTTGTTTGCATTTTAGAAGGATCAAAAAGGGAAGAGGCTCTATTTCTTTCTGTATTATCAATTTTGGCTCCCATCAAAAGGTGGGAGATGGTTTGCTGGTCCTTAGCGTTGCCACTAAGAGGTCCTTTACCAATCTCCCTTCTCTCCATTTCTGAGAAACGGCAATTCAATCTGAGATCACTCAACACTTGAGGTCTGATTCTACACCAATTAATGCTCGCTGAGCCAATTTAAATCAAATCTGGGAGTTTGCCAGAGAAAGAACAGCTCCTGGGGCAAATCACGGCGTTGGCAAGGAAGATTAGATCACAGTGCCCGCCGGTTTTTAAATCGCAATGATGAGAAACAGATTTTCTGATGCACGTTGAGATGGTGATAACTTCACTGGCTCTAAGGTTGAAAGATCTTGCGAGTTAGAAGAACCGAAGGCAACAACAGCTATGACAATAACAGCTTGGATTGCTTGTCGGGTTGTTTACAAAGCAGGGGTTGTGGTGGCTCAGTGGGTGAGACACTGAGCTTGACAATCAGAAAGGTTGGCAGTTCGGCGGTTCGAATCCCTAGCGCCACATAACAGCGTGAGCTCCCGTTACTTGTCCCAGCTTCTGTCAACCTAGCAGTTCATGACCATGAAGACGTCTTCGGACAGTGCTGCCTCTTCAGCTTTGAAACGGAGATGAGCATCACCCCCTAGAGTCACGAATGACGAGCACATATGTGCAAGGGGAACCTTTACCTTAATGTTTGAAAAAAACACTGGTCTTCAGATTGGAATAAATGTCTTTCTATTTTTGAAACTGGATGCGGAACTTGTGAACTTGGAAACACTCCTGATTGCTCTAAGTTTCTCCAAGTGCTGTATGAGATCATGCCTTGTATGTCTGAAGGGGAATCTGCTTTCCCTATAAGCAACATTTGATCCAGAGCACAAGTGGATCACTTGCCCAAAGGTGACAATTTATTTTATTTATTTATTAAATGACGCCCATCTCTCCTACAGGGTGACCCTGGGCAGCATAATGAATGAATGGATGGATGGATGGATGGATGAATGAATGAATGAATGAATGAATGAATGAATGAATNAAGGGACGCGGTGGCTCAATGGCTAAGACACTCAGCTTGTCGATCAGAAAGCTCAGCAGTTTGGCAGTTCGAATCCCTAGCGCCGCTTAACGGAGTGAGCTCCCGTAACTTGTCCCAGCTTCCGCCAACCCAGCAGTTTGAAAGCAGGTAAAAAATGCAAGTAGAAAAATAGGAACCATCTTTGGTGGGAAGGGAACAGCGTTCCGTGCGCCTTTGGCATTGAGTCATGCCGGCCACATGACCACAGAGACGTCTTCAGACAGCGCTGGCTCTTCGGCTTTGAAACGGGGATGAGCACCGCCCCCTAGAGTCAGGAACGACTAGCACATATATGCGAAGGGAACCTTTATCTCTTGAATGTTACCTCTGCCTATAGTTAGACGTAGTATGGAATGGTATAACAGAATGAAATCTAGAATTATTCTGTCCAAACAGACCGCTCATACAATATTTCTGGAATATAATTTCTGCGCGTAGCATAATATTTATTTACTACAGACATTTCTGTGTTTCTTCAGCTGAGTGCCTTATAATTGTCAGATCAGTTTTCAAAATGGTTGAGGACCAGAATGTATTCAAGCCAGCGCTTGGGATGAATTTTCAGACTGGAGCTGATTTTGAATCTATGAGCCCAATTATCAGTGCACTTCCCAGCCCGTTTAATTTGCGTTGAGTTCCAAAAGCATCTGCCTAGATTGTTTGGATCGGTAGAAGCAGATGCTTGAACAACAGAGCATCTTTTCAAAGTCTTCTTCAAGTGTCAGCTTGACCTCAGAAACACCTCCAGGCCTTGACTCTTCCCCAAAATGCAAAAAAATAGCTTTCTGTTAGCTTATATACCATGTTTTTGGCATCTCCGTCTGTTTTGGAACATTGAGATTTCTCACCGTGCTAATTCAGTCTCCGAAAACTGCTTAACCTTTGATCCTAACCATGGTTAATCGGATGCTGCCCCCTGCTGTTTAATCTTCCAGAAGAGCCTCTTAACCTTGCAAGGAAAAGGTTAATGGGTTTTTGCATACTATAGATAAATGGACATCTGTTCTGGCCGAGGCTTCCCAAGAGCCTGAAGGCAACTCCTTGTCCCGACAAAAAACCCCTTTTATTAATTTCCTGTGAATTTTGCTCATTGACATCCAGCAAAGTCTTTCAAGGGAGGATTTACGGTCACAGACCTTATCTGGCTTGGAGAGCTGCCAGGCTGATCTCTGCAGAACTTGGCCAGGAGTCTCGGAGAGTCACGAACCAATTAAGTGAACTAACAATCTCCTGCAAACTCCACTCCCCTTTAACTCCTCTTTTATGTCCTCTGGGAGGGGCCATTCACCATCCACCTGTGGCCTTACTCCCAAGTCAACCCCTGTTCTTTAGTTGTTCCCTTTGTCTGGCAGCTCTGCGTATGCGCACACTGGGAACAGGCTCCAGCTGTTCTTCTGCCCCACTGGTGTCTGACTCAGCTGATAACTGTCAGATGGCTCTGGCTCCTTCTCTGCCTCCGACACAGAGCCCTCCTCAGAGCCTTCCCCAGACTCCAGGACTGGCCCATCTTCCTCCCCAACCTCCTCACTGCCCGACTCTGCTGCCCGATCTGCTGGCGGGCCACAATACTTGGGA